GCACCGGGCTCGGCGCATCATACTAACTACATAGTATTTCAAATTCCAAGTTGAATATGTCTATCAAGTTGTTGCATTTCACATGCCATCCTTAGATTAGCCGAGCCTATTCTAGTTACATTTTGTATGCGATGCATTAGCCATCTTAACATGGACTTGGATCATACATTTGATTACTAACATGTTCCTTGTTTTGGCTCGGAGTACACTGTGAGTATTTATGCTTTAGCATCTTGCATGTGTGTAAGTGTTAACATGACAGCATGCTTACCATGAGGCTATTTGCTTATGTGATATAACTACCTGAATGCCTGTGGGTGAAGGTTGGATTACTTGAATTGGATCAATTCATTGAAATCCATGTTTTAGCCTACTCGAGAGTACCAAACCTCAAACCATTTTCCAAACAAAACGGATATGCGATGCTTTGTTCCAAATTAGGCGATCTAGTCTATACTTGTGTGTTGTGCGCATCACATAGTAAATTCTAGCTAATTAACCGAAATAAGAACACATATGTTTTCAAAACTCAATATCATGCTTAGTACAGGCCTATCTTCGGATCGGGCGAGCGGGGGTGCTCATAGATGACCTCCCCAATTGTACCCAAGTTCTCGAGCCGAGGCAACTTTGGTGATGACGGACACGTGGCCTTAGGCAACGAGTCAGGGTTTCCTAAATTTCCCAAAATAAAATATTTAGATGGCGACTCTGTATCTGGCAAAGCAGTCCATGTTTGGCACTTCTTTCTCAAAAATTTGTTTTCCAAAACGATTTGCCGGATTTAGACTCTTTGGTGATTTATCAATCTCACATCGCATATTGTGGGATCAGATTAAGAACCGTGACAATTTGATTCTGAACTGTAGCATGAGGCCCACGGGCACGTCTACAATGAGCATGGATGATCATCGAGTGTTCAAATGATGACGTCCAAATCTTGAGGACGGTCAAAAATGGGGTGTCTACAGGCTGCTTGACCAGCACGCGACCTTAGCAGCATGGCAGCTTGGCCTGCTCGCGGCCTTAGCAACATGTCAAGCCTACAACCTTGGCAGCATGACAGCTTGTCCTGCACGAGGCCTTAGCAGCATGTCAAGCCTACAACCTTGGCAGCATGGCAGCCTGGCCTATGCACGGCCCTAGTAGCATGTGAAACCCGTGGGCTTGGTAGCATGGCATCCTAGCCAGCGTGCAACCCTGGCAGGATGGCATGCCCACGGCCTAGCTAGTAGGGCTTCCTGGCCTCCGTGCAGCCTTATCAGCTTGGCATGCTCGCGGCCTAGGCAGCATGGCAGCCTGGCCTGCACGCAGCCTTGACAGCATGGCAGGCCTTAGGCCGAAGCAACATGGTATGCCTGTAACTTAGCCAGCATGGCTGTCTGGCATGCAAGTGGCCTTGGCAGCATGGCATTTCCTTGGCCTAAGCAGCTTGGTAGCCTGGCCTGCGCGCGGCCTTGGCAGCATGGTAGGTTAGCCTGAGCGCAGCCTAGGCTGCATGTCATACGCACAACGTGGGCAGCATGGCAGCCTCTCATGCCGTTGGCCTTGATGCCTGGCCTGCGCGTGACCTTGGCAGCATGGCAGCCTGGCCTTTCCGCGGCCTCGGTAGCATGGCAGCCAGGCTCGCGTGCGACCTCTACAGTGTGGCCTGCTCGCGGCCTCATTAGCATGCTAGCCCGGCCTACAGGCGGCCTTGGCCAGCCTGTCTTGCCCTACTCCTCACGAAAAGTATGTCCCTCAGGTAATTGCCATTAGGTTGACTTTGACTTTTGCCTACAAGTTGCCTATGATTTCCTTGTGGAAGTTGTTTTGCGAAAAAGCATGTCCCTCAGATAATTGCCATTAGCTTGGATTTGACTCATGTACAAGTTGCCTATGCTTTCCTAGTGGAAGCTTGTTGCCAAAAGTATGTCCCTCGGAAGTTGCTTGGTGCCTTTGTTATTTGCAGTCGTGGCAATTGATGCTTGTTCAGCTTCTCTAAATGTTTTCGCACGTTCGTTTGGCTTCTTAGTCCTTTGTGGTGTGTTTTGTTTTAGGGGGCTGGTGCATAGTGTACGTCGTGTCCGCGTTGTGCGAGTTGGATGGCTCCCTGCCTATGTAGCGAACTTCACTGGTGCATTCCTCTTCATCATCCATGGGATTCCTACAAGTTGCCTACGCTTTTCGAGTGGAAGCTCCTTGCTAAAAGTTATGTCCCTTAGTTAATTGCCATTAGGTTGGCCACGACTTGCTTACAAGTTGCCTGCGCTTTCCTAGTGGAAGCTATTATGCGAAAAGCATGTCCCTCGGGTAATTGCCATTTGGTTGCCTTTGACTTACGAACGAGTTGCCTGTGCTTTCCTAGTGGAAGGTTGTTGCGAAAAGCATATCCCTTCGAAGTTGCTTGTTGCCTTTATTATTTGAGGTCGCGTTAACCGATGCTTGCTCAACTTCTCTAAATGTTTTCGCACGTTTGTCGGGCTTCTTAGTCCTTCGTGGTGCGATTCGTTTTGGGGGGCAGTTGAATAGTATACGTCGTGGCATGTGAGTTGTGATTGGTTTATACGAGCTGGATGGATCCCTGCATGTGTAGTGAACTCCTCTGGTGCATTCCTCTTCATTCATGCTTGAAGAGCAAATTTTACATCCTACCGCGCATGGGTTCCTGTGTTGCCTACCTAACAAAAAGGAATTCGGTCCGAATCGTGTGCCTATATTCATCTCGCTACCTTGTGGCATTGGGTGAACCCCAAAGTATCTCCCGTGTTCCATGCGGTCCTCACGATGTTGTGCCGGTAGCATGGCCCGTGGGCAGTAGCACTCGTGCTTTCGGATTTAGAGCCTTGTGCGGGTACACATGGTCTTAAACCTTTGTTTCCCTGTTAAGCGTTCGTTGCTTATTGTGGGCTACGGCTGTGCCTGCCTCTAATCGCACTGACTCTGTCAGTTGGGCTTATGTAGTGTTGGCGTCGTAAAAAGGAATGCTACCTGGTTGATCCAACCAATAGTCATATGCTTGTCTCAAAGACTAAGCCATGCATGTGTAAGTATGAACTAATTCAGATTGTGACACTACAAATGGCTCATTAAATCAGTTATATTTTGTTTAATGGTATTTGCTACTCGGATAACTGTAGTAATTCTAGAGCTAATACGTGCAACAAACCCCAACTTCTGGAAGGGATGCATTTATTAGATAAAAGGTTGACGCAGGCTATGCCCGTTGCTCTGATGATTTATGATAACTCGACGGATCACACGGCCTTTGTGCCGGCGATGCATCATTCAAATTTTTGCCCTATCAACTTTCGATGGTAGGATAGTGGCCTACTATGGTGGTGACAGGTGACGAAGAATTAGGGTTCAATTCCGGAGAGGGAGCTTGAGAAATGGCTACCACATCCAAGGAAGGCAGCAGGTGCGCAAATTACCCAATCCTGACACGGGAAGGTAGTGACAATAAAAAACAATATCGGGCTGTTTGAGTTTGGTAAATGTAATGAGTACAATCTAAATCCCTTAACGAGGATCCATTGGAGGGCAAGTCTGGTGCTAGCAGCCATGCTAATTCCAGCTCCAATAGCGTATATTTGAGTTGTTACAGTTAAAAAGCTCGTAGTTGGATTTTGGGTTGGGTTGACCGATCTGCCTCAGGTGTGCACCAGTCGTCTCGTCCTTTCTGCCAGCGATGCGCTCTTGGTCTTAATTGGCCAGGTCATGCCTCTGGCGTTGTTACTTTGAAGAAATTAGAGTGCTCAAAGCAAGCCTACACTCTGGATACATTAGCATAGGATAACATCATAGGATTTTGATCCTATTACGTTGGCCTTCGGGATCAGAGTAATGATTAATAGGGACAGTTGGGGGCTTTTGTATTTCATAGTCAAAGGTGAAATTCTTGGTTTTATGAAAGACGAACAACTGCGAAAGCATTTGCCAAGAATGTTTTCATTAATCAACAACGAAAGTTGAGCGCTCGAAGACGATTAGATACTATCCTAGTCTCAACCATAAACGATGTCGACCAGGGATCAGCGGATGTTACTTTTAGGACTCCGCTGGCACCTTATGAGAAATCAAAGTTTTTGGGTTCCGGGCGGAGTATGGTTGCAAGGCTGAAACTTAAAGGAATTGATGGAAGGGCACCATCGGGAGTGGAGCCTATAGCTTAATTTGACTCAACACAGAGAAACTTACCAGGTCCAAACATAGTAAGGATTGACAGACTAAGAGCTCTTTCTTGATTCTATGGGTGGTAGTGCATGGCCGTTCTCAGTTGGTGGAGCGATTTTTCTGGTTAATTTTGTTAACAAATGAGACCTCAGCCTGCTAACTAGCTATGTGGAGGTGACCCTTCACAGCTAGCTTTTTAGAGGGACTATGGCCCTTCAAGCCACGAAAGTTTGAGGCAATAGCAGGTCTGTGATGCCCTTAGATGTTCTGGGCCACACGCGTTACACTGATGTATTCAACGAGTCTATAGCCTTAGCCTACAGGCCCGGGTAATCTTTGAAATTTCATCGTGATGGGGATAGATCATTGCAATTGTTGGTCTTCAATGAGGAATTCCTAGTAAGCATGAGTCATCAGCTTGCATTGATTACGTCCTTACCCTTTGTACACACCGCCCGTCGCTCTTACCGATTGAATGATCCGGTGAAGTGTTCGGATCGCAGCGACGTGGGCGGTTCACTGCTGGTGATGTCGAGAGAAGTCCACTGAACCTAATCATTTAGAGGAAGGAGAAGTCGTAACAAGGTTTTCGTAGGTGAACCTGCAGAAGGATCATTATCGATGCCTGTGTAGCAGAACGACCCGCGAACTTGTCATATTACTGTTAGGGAAGTAGGAGGTAGGCCGTCGGCTCCCTCCTGTTGCCCCTTGTTGGGAGTGCGATCGGAGCCCCTTCGGGGGCGACGGATGCCATTCCCCAACAAACCAACAAACCCCAGTATGAATTACGCCAAGGAACTTGAACAAAGAGAGCACACTCGGTGCATCTCACAAAAAAACTAAATGATTCTTCACAACGAATATCTCGGCTCATGCATCGATGAAAAGCGTAGCAAAATGCGATACTCGGTGTGAATTGAAGAATCCCGTGAACCATCGAGTCTTTGAACGCAAGTTGCGCTCAAAGCCATTAGGTTGAGGGCATGTCTGCCTTGGGCGTCTCACGTTGTGTCGCCCCTACCCCTTCCCCCCCAAAGGGAATGGTTGTGGGTGGTTGTTGGCCCCCCATGCGTGCCCGTGCACGATCAGCCTAAAAATGAGTTCCCTATGACAGATGATGCGTCACGATGAGTGGTGGTTGACAAGCCATTGCGTCATCTCGCGCGCGTCCAAGTCGTCGTGAGACGTCTGTTGTGACCCTATCGTGCCGCTGCCAGGGTGCTCCGATCGCGACCCCAAGTCAGGCGGGATGACCCGTTGAGTTTAAACATATCAATAAGCGGAGAAAAAAAAACTTACAAGGATTTCCCTAGTAATGGCGAGTGAATTGGGAAGCGCCCAGCTCTAAAATTGAGCAACCCCGTTATTCGAATTGTAGTCTGGAGAAGCATCCTCAGTGACGGACCAGGCCCAAGTCCCCTTGAAAGGGACGCCTGAGAGGGTAAGAGCCCCGTCGTGCCCGGACCCTGGCGCACCACGAGGCGTTGTTTGCGAGTCAGGTTGTTTAGGAATGCAGCCCTAATTGGGCCTTAAATTCCATCCAAGGCTAAATATGAGCGAGAGATCGATAGCAAACAAGTACAACGAGGAGAGTCAAAGAGTGCTTGAAATTGTTGGGAGGGAAGCGGATGGGGACTGGCGATGCGCCCCGGTCGGATGTAGAACAGCGTCCAGTCGGTCCGCCGATCGACTCGAGGCGTGGACCGGTGCGGATCGGGGCGGAGACCAAAGCCCGGGCAGTCGAAAAGCCCGCGGAGATGCCTTTGCTCCAATCGTGGCTGGTAGCACGCGCCCTCAGGTGTGCTTCGGCATCTGCGCGGTCTTGGCGCCGGCCTGCGAGCTACCCATTCGGCCTGTCTTGGAACATGGACCAAGGAGTCTGATATGTGTGCCAGTCAACGGGTGGGTAAACTCGTAAGGCACAAGGAAGCTGATTGACGGGATCCCCCTCGCGGGTTGCACCGTTGACCGACCTCGATCTTGTAAGAAGGGTTCAAGTGCGAGCACGCCTGTCGGGACCTGAAAGATGGTGAACTATGCCTGAGCGGGGCGAAGCCAGAGGAAACTATGGTGGAGGCTCGCAGCGATACTGACGTGCAAATCGTTCGTCTGACTTGGGTATAGGGGCGAAAGACTAATCAAACCGTCCTGTAGTTGGTTCCCTCAGGATAGTTGGAGCCCGAGCGCAAGTTCTATCAGGTAAAGGCAATGATTAGAGGCATCGGGGGCACAACGCCCTTGACCTATTCTTAAACTTTAAATAGGTATAGAACCCACAAAGGGTGTTGGTCGATTAAGACAGCAGGACGGTGGTCGTGGAAGTCGAAATTCGCTAAGGAGCGTGTAACAACTCACCTGCCGAATCAACTAGCCCCGAAAATGGATGGTGCTTAAGCGTGCGACCTATACCCGGCCGTCGGAGCCTCAGCCACACTCACATAAGAAGCCGGTTGATGAAAATGAAGTGCCTCGAAATGCGTGCACACGGGCACGCAAACCGAGGCGATGATAAAATGTGATGAAACGACATGGAAATGACGAATGGGCTTATACCAACATGAGTGAGCCACAACCACACTTACATCGGATGCTGGCGGATAAAAAATGAAGTGCCTCGAAATGCGTGCCCACGGGCACGCAAACCGAGGCGATGGAAAAATGCGATGTAATGACAGGAAAACATGATATGGGCTTATACCAACATGAGTGAGCCTCAGCCACACTCACATCGGATACCGGCGGATAAAAATGGAGTGCCTCGAAATGCGTGCACACGGGCGCGCAAACCGAGGCAATGATAGAATGCGATGAAATGACAAATGATCATTTTAATGGAATTTCAGCACTAAAATATGGGGGAAAACAGTCCCGAAATGAGGCGAAATGACATGAAATGCATGGAATTGTCCCGAAATGTGAATTTAGGCACCCGAAATGGCCTATAGCTATGCTAAACATGCACCATATGGACATGCAATGCAAGGACAGAAGCTAGACAGTCCCAAAAAAGGCACTTTCACAGTTATAAACATGGCCAAACAGCAAGCATAGGTATGGTAAAAATGGCATGCAAGAATAGGGGCCAAAAGAGGGGTAATGAAGCAAGTGATACAAGCAAGACCCAAACTGAAAAATTCCCTTCTACAACACTGAAGAGGGACCAAAAATATGAATATTTACAGTATGTGGCAGCCTCAAAATCAGTATACAAACATGATAGAAATGTGATGCAAAATGAGGCTCAAAAAGGTGCTATAACATGAAGTATACAAAATAATCACTAAACAGAAAAAAAGTGTTAATGAAACATGAATTATAGGCCAAAACAAGGCCACTTTCAGTTCGGACCAAGGTCCAAAAACAGAAGCAAAGGGGGCTGCCGATTCATGCAAAAATGGGGCCAAATAAGGGATATAACTACAAGTGACACATGGAGGCACCAAATGGTAAGAGGCCCTTCAACAATGTCGAAGAAGGGCCCAAAATAAGCACATTAACAGATTACCTCATGCTCAAAAACAGATTACTCATGGGCCAAAAATAGCATGCAAGATTATGACATACAAGAGGATCAATGAAGCAAGTGTATCATGGAGGGCTCAAACAGGGTTGAGCCCTTAATGAAAAGTGAAGATGAGCTCAAAAGAGGCCCCTTTTCAGTTAGGACCGGAGCTTGAAACAAAAAGCATGTAGGGCTTAAAAATAGATCAAGAAAAAGGGTCAAAAAGAAAGAAAGGTTACTCACCCTTGAAGACTAAGACTTTTGTTGCTTCTTGGACCAATTTGCAGCTCCTTTTGCCTTTGAGAAACCTTCCTTGTTGTTGGAAATGAGGTGGTGGTGGTAGAGCTTGGTGGTGTAGAGGAAATGGTGATTAGGGACTTAAGGTTTTTCAAGGAAATGAGAGGTATAGAAATGGAGTTGTGTATGGATGCTTGAAGAACAATTTTTCTAACCCCAAAATACTACAAGGCTTGCTTGCTATATAGGCCAACAAGGGGGTGTAAAGGTGGGGGAAAAGGAGAGCAATATTCCCCCACAAAATATCCCCCGGATAAAGATCTTTTTTGGGGGATATTGCCCCACAGCTGGAAAGGGAACAGTGCAAGGAGTCCAGCCGGCCTGGTACTTTTGCTGCAGGTGGCCGGCCGGCCACACCCCCTAGCTAAGCAGAACTGGCGATGCGGGATGAACCGAAAGCCAGGTTATGGTGCCCAACTGCGTGCTAACCTAGAACCCACAAAGGGTGTTTGTCAATTAAGACAGCAAGACGGTGGTCATGGAAGTCAAAATCTGCTGAGGAGTGTGTAACAACTCAATTGCTGAATCAACTAGCCTCGAAAATGGATGGCGCTCAAGCGCGCGACCTATACCCAGCCACCGAGGCAAGTGTCAGGACCTGATGAGTAGGAGGGCGCAGCGGTCGTTGTGAAACCTTGGGTGCGAGCCTCGGCGGAGTGGCCGTTGGTGTGGATCTTGGTGGTAGTAGCAAATATTCAAATAAGAACTTTGAAGGCCGAAGAGGGAAAAGGTTCAATGTGAACAACACTTGCATATGGGTTAGTCAATCCTAAGAGTCGGGGGAAGCCCGACAGAGAGCGCATTCATCGCGAGCTTCGAAAGGGAATCAGGTTAACATTTCGGAATTGGGGCATGGTGACTGATGGTAACGTTAGGGAGTCTGGGGACATAGGCAGGGGCCTTGGGAAGAGTTATCTTTTCTACTTAACAGCCTGTCCACCTTGGAAACGGCTTAGTCAGAGGTACAGTCCAGCGGCTGGAAGAGCACCGCATGTCGCCTAGTGTCTGGTGTGCCCTTGGTGGCCCTCGGAAATCCGAGGACCGAGTGCCTCCCACGCCCGCTCGTACTTATAACTACATCAGGTCTCCAAGGTGAACAACCTTTGGTCGATGGAACAATGTAGGTGAGGGAAGTCGGCAAAATGGATTCATAACTTTGGGAAAAGGATTGGCTTTGAGGATTAGACACGGGGGTCCTAGTCCCGAACACGTCGGCTGTCAGTGGACTACTCGAGCTGCTCCCGCTGTGAGAGCGGGTCGTTGCGTGCCGGCCAGGGGACGGATTGGGAACGGTTCTTTATGGGGCCTTCCCTGGGCAGTGAACAGTTGACTCAGAACTGGTACGGACAAGGGGAATTTGACTGTTTAATTAAAACAAAGCATCGCGATGGTCCTTGCGGGTGCTCACGCAATGTGATTTTTGCCCAGTGCACTAAATGTCAAAGTGAAGAAATTCAACCAAGCACGGGTAAACGGCGGGAGTAACTATGACTCTCTTAAGGTAGCCAAATGCCTCGTCATCTAATTAGTGAGCGCATGAATAGATTAACGAGATTCCCACTGTCCCTGTCTACTATCAAGTGAAACTATAGCCAAGGGAACGGGCTTGGCAGAATCAGCGGGAAAAGAAGGCCCTGTTAGCTTGACTCTAGTCTGATTTTGTGAAATGACTCGAGAGGTGTAGGATAAGTGGGAGCCGGAAATGGAAAAAGTGAAATACCCCTATTTTTGGATCCAAGGCTCGCCTAGGCGGGCCGATCAGGGTAAAAGACATTGTCAGGTGGGGAGTTTGGCTGAGGCAGCACATTTGTTAAAAGATAACGCACGTGTCCTAAGATGAGCTCAATGAGAACAGAAATCTCATGTGGAACAGAAAGGTAAAAGCTCGTTTGATTTTGATTTCTAGTACAAATACAAATCGTGAAAGCGTGGCCTAACGATCCTTTAGACCTTTGGAATTTGAAGCTAGTGGTGTTAGAAAAGTTACCATAGGGATAACTGGCTTGTGGCAACGAAGCGTTCATAGCGACGTTGCTTTTTGATCCTTCGATGTCGGCTCTTCCTATCATTATGAAGCAGAACTCACCAAGTGTGGGAGTGTTCACCCACCAATAGGGAATGTGAGCTGGGTTTAGACCGTCATGAGACAGGTTAGTTTTACCCTACTAACAACAGTGTTGTAATAGTAATTCAACCTAGTACG